ATTTTTAATTGTATTGCGAAACAATATTATTCGTATGATTGCAAGCAATAAAATAATTGTATAATTATCATTTTTCTATTACGTGCGTTGTCTAATCATTCACTTAAATGCACATTCTATAAAAATGTACGTACATAAAGAAAAGCGCACAAAAAACTTCCAATAAATTCTCGTAAATACTTGAATATCGTGTGGTGCTTGTTCATGAATTAATACTAAATAAATTTAAAGTTAAATAAAATTGTGTACACTATTTGGTTCTTCTCTTGTAAGTGCGTATTATACGCGTCACGAGTTATTTAACGAGTGTTGCAACGTGAGAAAGAGGGAGATTGCGATGATCGAATCGCGCGAGATACGTTATGCGACTAGCTGATGAATGGCGACCGAATAAGTTCTAATATCCTTTCGCAAACGATATTTCCAGTCATCTTAATTTACATGCGACATATCTGAATTATATAATGTATAACGATTCTACTAGCAAAAGATCGTTTCGCTCTTTATTATAGACTTATGTATAAAGCTTTACGGTCATTATTATAATTATTATAGATCGCTATTGTTATATAAGGCCTGTTCTTTTTAGCTTTTTATGCTTCTTGCATAGTTTATCTTTCTTCCTTTTTTCACATCGAAGAGAAAAAGAGAAGAGATAAACTATGCAAGAAGCTCAGCTAAAAAGGACAGTTATAATCGTAGCCAAACGGTTGCGACGCAATGCGCAGAGTAATTTATTATAATATCATTGAAATATCAATAACAATTCAACTTATTAAGTTTTTACTAGTTTGTTATATTCCAGTATTATAATTTTTTCGTTTTAATAAGTATAGTTATAGAGCTCACTTTCTGGATGCGAAAGATAATTTCATACATACAAGATCTGCAAAATCTGTTCTTTTTAACTGTTTTCTACGATTTCCGTGCATAAACAGGAAACGCGCTCTTGCTGTGCAGATAGAAAAAGGTCTAATGAGAAAAAAAGTCTAGAAAGGCGTAGTAGAAAGTACAGCTAAAAAAGCGCGGATCTATATTTTTAATCTTTCATCGCAAAAAAAAAATACAAAACTATTTTTCTGAAAACATTCGTACATAGAACTTTGATTCTACGAAAGTCTTAACGTATTCCGATATTTAAGAAATTGTGTAAAATTATTCCTTACACGCGCGCGACCCGGTCCTTGTGTGTGAGTGTGTATTATATGTTAGAGTTTACTGAATTATTGAGTCATGATAAGGCGATTAGTGTTACGGTGCAAGCGCTATAAGCGATCAGTTTCGTATAAGCGCGTATCTTGCGAGTCGCGCGAAGAGAGAAATATTAGATTGTCAAAAAAGTTATAAATCAGCTTTCGGTTTTTACATATAGAAGATATTTATATATGTTTCTTATAGAAGATCTTTATATATATGTTTTTATTATACTCTTAATTTAAATTTTATAGACTTTCTTATAGACACAATAAATACAATTATCTAAGCTTAAACTGCAAGAAATTGATCAATGATAGTCAATTATTCTTCTCACATTCAACTGTGATTGATAAATTCTTACGACTTAAGACGTAAGCTTAGATAATGACTTATTGTAGAAAATCTATTAAATTTATTAACGATAATTATTTTTCAGAATAAAGAGTGTCATGTTCAAAAATCTTGTCATCAATCTTCCGGCTGTTATTTTATACTATTAATCTAGACATTAAAGTCTTTACATCCGATATAGTTCTGTTACTATTTGATTATAATCTGTTTCTTACGAGGACAGCGATTTGTAACTTTTGAGCAAGTCGAGGCAGCTTGTCATGATTATGAATTAACTATTAGCGACTTATTGGACATGATGGTCTTTATTTTGAGAAATAATTATAACTGCTTTGTAATAAATTTATGTGTAAAAAACCGCTTATTTAAAAACCGCAGAGTAATTCAGAACTTTTTGGACAACCTAGTTTATATACATATATAATATATATATACACGAGTGATTACTTAAGATAATAAAAGCAAAAAATATATGCAACGAAAGTAAGACTTAAGTGATACTCTTGCGAAAGGATCGACATGCGAGCAGATACCGCGCGTTTGCGAGCATCAGCCTGAAAAGGAATCGGCGACATGCGTTTGTTTAATTAATTTTATTCGTTCTCTCATAGATAATTAATTCATAGTCTTTGTTTACGAATCAACTGCGAAATAAAAAAAAAAGGAAAACGCGTGCCGATGTTCTTCGATATAAAATTCGACCGTTTTTTACGTTACAACATGAGGAGATGCTTATGCTTATAGTATTCCGCTTCTTTTTAACACCAATACGAAAAGTATATTGCACTTAAGCTGATCATGTATCCACACAGTAAGAGATCGACAAAGATTTATTTTCATATTGAGGAATATTAGGGTGACGCATGTGTATTCAGTCTAAGGATAACATGAGAGATATAAACTTTTGAGACATTCGAATCATCCTTTTGTAGATACAAAGTGCATCTCGTTAGCATAGCTCAGACTTTACTGTCGCGGGGAGGTGAGACGTGATCGTCGAGATCGTTTATTTAGCATCAGTCAAAGGGGCATTGATCGTTTTTCTAGAGTTTGACGGCCTACCGGATTGGAATAGTTTTGTTGTGGTGTTATATCGGTGTACACACACACGTGACTTCGCGATTTCGCGTCAGACACGACGGTAACTTCTCAGAGGCCTTGTTCTCGAAAAATATCATATACAAAAATACTAGGGAAATCTACGTAATATATGTAAGGCCTGTTGTGAGACGAACTTTGACCTAAGAAGAGTGGAGTCTCCTTTGTCTTCAAGGAGAATTAATCACGAAAGAGATCCAAATAAAGCGTGGTAATTTGAATTACTCGAATAGATCGTAAATTCAAATCAGAGAATACAAGAAGAAGAACTTTGACTTGATACTATATACAAAAGGTTGGAAACTTATACAGGGGAATCAAACTAAGAACGTATAAGTATTATAGTATTTTCATACATTTTCGTATGTGATATTTTTTAAGAATAACTCCAGGTTTGCTAACGAGCGAATTTCTAATCACTACATTTTATCTTGTATTTTTCGACTGTTTCTTTCCGATACTTTTAAGTGTTACGCGAGCAACGGTAACTTATTAGATTTAAGAGACGATGAGAAAATGCAAGCGGATCCGCAGGAGGTACGAGTGATTCTTCGATCTCTTGCTCCCTTCGACGCGTAAAATTATCATACCTGGAGTAACGAACACATATAAAAAAAAAAGATAGTCAGATATTCTATTTTTCTCAGAAGTTACAAAAATTGCAGCCATTGTTATAATATCTATCAACGTTCGTAGGTAAAAACCTCCGCCTCTTCCTCCCTCGCCCGACATGTCGCCTTTGCACGTAGAGGAATAATTGAGATCTATCTTTCGCGTTAGTTTCGTGTCATGTGTAAGTCACATTCGAAGTAAAATTTGCTGATTTATTCGAGCGCTCGTTCATGTGTTCAAGTTAGCTTCGAGTTTGAGAATCAAAGCTCTCTGTAATACAAAACTCCCATGCATCTAGCGTGTCTTTCGAAATATTGTGAGAATTCGAGTAAAGCACTGCCATCATGAAAATTTGAATGAATCTCAAAGCTCATTGAAACTCAGTGAATTTGCAATTTTCATCTCTTTAAGGCGGAAGAATAAAAAGGATTGCGATCATTTACGTTATTTTTTACAGTTTGTGTAGCAAAATCTTTTTTTTGTGAATTTTTAGAAATGTAGATTAATTCTTGATCAGTCACGCGTTTAAGTTGTCATATTTTAATCGCACATTGCGATCATTATAACTCTCATCATTTCTTTCCTACATTGTTAAATAAACGAATTAATAATTCTACATTATTTAATTTCAATAGACAATGAATTTTTCACTTCGCCAGAATTATCGTCTTAAAAGAAGCGCAAGTAGTTTGTTTTATTTACAAGGGAACAAACCAAGTATCCACACCTGATTAGTTAACGAATTTTATGACATCGCACAGATAGAATTATCATAATTCGCGATTAATTAAAAGTGACCGAATTCGTAAAAATAAAACGAGACTTCGAGAGAAATAAAGAAAGTAATTTGATTCTCAAACTTGAGTAATGCGATAACGTTGTGCGGATGGTGCGCGCAGCTTCATGTTTCTTCGCGTCGATTTCATTCTACATTACATTCTGTACGGATATTGTACATCTTGAAAAAGAATAAGATATGAAATTCTATATATATGGACATTCAGTGTGCTTCCATTGTCATTATGAACTGATAAGGTACGATGGAAAAATTGTGCATCTTTATATTCGCATAATTGTGATATTGTTAAATTGTGCATTTATATAACGATTAGAAACAAAACGAGCGATCAGTTATTAATAATTGATTGTAGCTTCCTGTTTGATACATTTCTTTCACGTGTCCCGTGCTGAGGAGTTTCTTTAAGTGGGAAAAGAGAGCAGCTATATAATATTAAATTAAAATATTTTTAAATATATAAGATAAGATATATTATATATATATATATATATATATATA